CTTTATAGATATCTCCCTCTTCTTCCTCACATCGTGTCTTTAGGAAATTTTCAAAACAAAAACGGAAGATTTAGGATGTATCTCATACCTGAGGCATCTTCTGCTGTTTTGATTGAGCAAAGTAGGAGGGCATACGCTCCAAGATGGCCGCCGTATTTCCTGCGCCGGAGCGGTCCATGAGGCGTCTATGCTTATATTATGTCTATGGTTCATTGTGTGTCTGATCTTTTCTGAGTCACAGGTCAGTATAACTGTATTTTGATGCATATGTGTTGGTGTCCTTTAAGAGTTGAAGAGTCAACTTGTGAGTCATTTTATGCATTTTGTGATTGGTATTGTGGAGAAAAGGGGGCATATTTCTGGAGGCTAATTAATGCTAATGCTAGCGGACTTTTTGCATGTGTGCTAAGCTAGTTGAGAAAAAGCTGAAGGATCTCTGAATTCACTTTGAACTTATTGTATTTTGCACTTTTCGAAACAGTTCTCACACAAAAGACTTTAATTTTGGTCCTTTGTGTGGTTGTTTGTAAAATGAACATTTCTTTATGAGTTATTGAAAAAAAACCCCATAATTTTATGACATTTGGTGAGCAAGTAATGGCTTCCTGTGTGTGAAGCTTAGTAAAGATACAGCATTAAAGGAGCATTTCACCATTTTTAGTTTTGTAGTTATTTTTTGTGAAAGAGATAAAATGTTATTTTGTGAAAACAATGACTACAATTAAAAGCTAAAATGCTGACATATTCAATAAAGTTGTAAAAGCTATTAAAATAGTTAAAAGCAAAGTTATGTATTTTTATTTTCATAGAAAAATGTAAGATGGAAGTTGATTGTATGTGTCTTATATTTTCCATATCACAACTTTTCATATTGAACAGAATTACCACATTAGCTTCAGCCGGTAACACATGATTAAAGGTATTATGGACTTACAGACACATAATGGCATTTTGTAGCACAATCAAGTAACTATGTTACCTTCAGTTGTTATAAAAATTGTGATTTCAAATGTCACAGTTTGATGTCTCAATGTGGCCTCTGTCTCTTTAAGAAGCTCCTGTTCTTTCTGCTTTTAGCATTTATATTGTAATTTCAATTTGCGCATCCTACGGCCAACAGCTACTGTTGCTGTTATCTCTCCTTTTCTGAGGACTCCACTCTTCAGCTGGTCTGCATCTGAACACACCCACACCTGCTATCTGGGTGCTTAATTCGGAGTGTTTGTATCCGTTTCTGGAAGGCATTGTTTCATGCAGGAAGCAGATCACTATGAAGTGTCGCTTGGCCAGGCAGCCGCCTGCAGTAAGGCTTTGTAGTAAAGCATGGCAGTAACAGGCAGCTTTACAGCCCGGAGCATTAATTCCTGGTGACACAGAGCTGCTCTGCAGCTTCTAATGGCCGCTGTACAGCTGTCAATACGCACTAATTACATACAGGACCAGTGTTACTGTGCTTCATCAGTTTTATCCTCTGTGTCATTGTGTGGCACAATAAAAGAAAAACAATACAATGAACTTTTTCCGATGCTGCACTCATCTCTGCAGCTTTCAGGGGAGGAAAAAACCTCAAAGTGTGTTTTCTCCCCCCCCCTATTTTTACCGCGGCGCTACCTGAGCAGAGCTTCTCTTTCTTTGTTAGGAATACCATCTCAGTGCTGTATTTTTCTCCTGTTTCGCTTCACTTCTCCAGATGTGGTATCAAAAGTCGACGTTCTCCTCCGCTTCCTGCCAAACTTTCCCTTTGATTCTTAACTCTCTCTGCTCCTCACATTCTGCCTCCTGCTTATGTCACGCCACATTATCATGCAAACTTCTACTTGTTTTTAAAGTGTCACTTTTGACTCAAGTTAAAAAAGAGAAAAAAAAAATTACAACTCCATATTTCAGTCTGAACTTTTAAACCGGCTGGCGGTATTCCCTTGTTGGCCATTAAAGCGATGCCGTGCTGAGGGTGGTGAAAAACATCTCCTACAACTCTGAGCTGCCACAACGGATGCTGTCATAAAGCGCCGCGCAGGACTCGGCAACAGCCTCATAGTAGTAGTTTTCTTATTGTTTCTTTACCTCAGACGAGCCGCCTGAGAAACGTTCATGAATATTTCCTTTGCTTAAAAATCTGCCTTCAGTGCACAAAAGGCTACTCAATAAATCAATCCCAAACTGTAGCTGGGGGGCAGTGAACATAGTTAAAACAATAAAATTCAACTTGAGCACTGCAGTGCAGCTATTGATTTTAATCCAGTGTTCGTCCTTTAATCAATCATCTCTTAGCAGAATTAATTCCTGCTTCTTTATTGCACGGGGCGGTCAGCTGCATGGCGAGAAGTCAGACCACTTCTGAAGTCCTTTTGTTTTGTCAAAGCAACTGGACAAGTGCTTCATAGCACTTTTTATTGATCTCCTTTGAATTAAAAAGAAAAATACGCACTAAGAACCTTATTGAGCTCCATGAACCTGAGAAAATATCAAAAATTGATTTGCTTGGGATTCAGAAGAGTTGGCCTCTTTTGTTAAACCTTAAATGTCAGATTGCAGAACCAGAAAACCATTTCTTGAAAGACTTTATGGGAATATGGTGGATTGATGCCTAGACACATGCAGAAAATGTGCGTGAGATTTTTGTATTTTTTTAAGTAAAAGCAGTAATTAGGTGCAATAGATGATTATTTTTTTTCGTCTGTGTGTGAGCCAAATGAGAGGGAGTGTGTTTACAGTGTTGTCAGTATTTTACCTTCACCTTCTTACTCCACAAGTATGCGGTTCCTTCCCAGAGATAATCATGGGGGTTGAATCAGGAAGGGCATCCAGTGTAAAAAATCTGCCAAGTCTGTGTGCACGCAGCTGGTGAGTGGAGGAGACGGTGGTGTCTCATTAGTTTGAGCTGACGTCTTTTAGAAGGTGGGATAGAGTCCTCAGAGTAAGAATATGACAGCTGCTTCAGTGTAGCTAAAACATCTCAAACTCAGGCTGATTATGGGTAGGAAGAACGACTTTCTGCTGCTTCCATTCACTGCTGCTGCAGTGGCTCTCAAAAGTCCCAGTGAAAATGTCAGATTTTATCACACAGAAAAGGTATTGGCTTTTAACTGTATCGTTATGTCCGCATGTGTAAGTCGCCTTGGTTAAAAGCTTCTGCCAAATGCATGAACATAATCCATAATACCTTTAATGTAAAATATATCCTGAACATTTTATATTTTGTGAGTTAAATATGAATAATGAAGCTGGAATACTACGAGCAGATGGATCTCAATAAAGTAGAATATGTTTTAAATGCTCATTAATATAGTGAACTAATGTTTTCAAACCCTTATTGTTAATATGATTTTCTGTTGACAGCTAATGAAAACACAATATTTAAGATATTCTAATATTACATCAAACCAATGAAATCTTAAAACAGAAATGTGGATTTAATGAAAAGTATGTTTGATACCTGCATAAAGGTTGTGACTTGTAATCTGACAAACTCATTGGAACACAAATTTTAATTTATTTAGATGTACATTGATGTATGCACACCAGTAAGCTAATACTTTCTCAGATACCTTTGTAGGACTCTGAGTTAACTGCATCTTAAGAAGTGGTATTTAATCTGTAATCCTCTTTGCTCCTCTTCGCCTGTCTGTCAGCTCCTCTCTAACATGTTCTCTAACCTGCACAGGTTTTATGCTCCAAATGTAACAACATTGCTTTTCAGTAACTTTTGGCCAAGTGCTCAGCAGCCTTGTCCCACAATTTCTTTCATGTTTTACATGTTCCTTGATTTTTTTTAACACCATAATGAATAAAAACTATTGCCTGGACACAATTGAAAAGGAAAAGTTGTAAAAAAAAAAAAATAAATAAGATGGTGTAACTGGGAAGTGATTGTAGCAAACAGGATCAGGGAGTCTTTGTGTGATTGCTTCATTCAGACATCCGGCTCATATAAAACATTTCATTTTGTGCATGTTATCTTGGAGTGGGGAGAGAGTCTTTGCACTCCATGATTGGATTAGCAGACCTATGCCCGGGGAGCGGTGTGATACATCCCAGAAATCTAATTTGATTGTCAAAGCTTGGGAGAGTGTGCTTTCTTATCTTGCTTGGTGCTGGACTGAAGTACAGGTATTAAAAAAAACAGAGAAGAGTCTGTGTTCGAGTCTGTGTTCGAGCTCCATTGATCTCATTCAAATTGAAATAGGCCTGAGCTCCTAACAGCAGCCTTTACCTCCCACCTGTAAGCCCACCAACAGCGGCGGGAGCAGTTAGGCTTACACCAAGGCTGTCAACACTCCTCGGCCTGAAGCTGCTCTTCCCCTCCAGCGCTGTCAACATGGTAGAAATCTGACAGTAGCAGCAAAAATAAAAAGGAGGCCTTTTAAAAACACAGTTGTAGGAATGTCAGGTGTGGGCTGATGGACGTGGCTGATGGTGCACACGCATGGAGGATGAGCATCAGCAGACACAACAAGCTCTTTATTAGGAGCTCATGTCTGTGTGTCTGCTTATTTAAGCAATTATGTGGTCAGTCCATCACGAAACAGCAACACGATGCTTGTGGTGCTTCAGGTCAGGAGCTCCAGCTCCATCAACCTGCAACTGTTTGTTAAAAATACTGTAATTATTAAAGGTTCAGTGAATGCACAGCACTGACCTAGCAGAGCACGTTTACTGGTTTAGTTTGTCTGGACTTTTTATGGTCTGAACTGCTTTGAACAGAATCCAGTAGAAAACAAAAGTTTTACACAACTGTTATTGTTTCTGCATTTCCTGTTAACCTTTAATTTTTCCTAAACTCAAAGCAAATCAAGGAGCAAGCTTCACAGGCTAAAAACTGTTTGAAACTTTGATCTGTTTAATGAAGAAAATTTGGATTAACTAATCACCTGAATAAGCCGGTTAACGTTTAAAATCACTGGAGTCACTGCTACGTTGTTACACAACAGATTCCAGTGAGCAAACCAGGACAAAACAGTGGATTATTATTGTGCAAAAATTTAAACTGCCCTCATTTCTCTGTGTTTACTTCCCAGGGACCCAAACTTTCCAGTTTCTCAAAGTGCCCTTCATTTTGTCCGAGTCCACTCATGTAACGCTGTCTTCTCTCCGCTTCCCACACCATCACAGATTGGCAGGAGCTGATTCTACATCCTTAACAACAGTGGTGAGTTCACTCCCACTAATATGCTTATTGCTTTGATAAGTTTAGCACTTGTGCTAATTTTGAAAATATTTAGTGCATCTTTATCTTCCCTTAGCTTAGTTTTCTCTCTATGATTTCTAAAGAGCTATTTTAAGTGGCTTTTTGTAAACTTTGTGTTAAAGGTTTAGATATCGACTATTCTTCAAATAGTTAGACTTTTATATTCATGCTCTTTTGACGTGAGTGTAGACTGTTTATGCATCAGTTCCTTTCCCTCTCTTCTTCTTTTGATTTAATGGCTGTTTCCAGACTGCTTTCAGTGCATTACTGCCACCACTAGATGGACAAATAGATCTAGAGAATAGGCATCCTTTCTCTTCTTGTGTAGTCTCGCTTTTTTTCCCCAATAACTTTATTTAAAACGAGAAATGTACAGGAATAAAATAAAACACAATAGAGAACCATTTAGTACAATATCTGAGGGCATTATACAGCATTTAAATAATTTAAAAATTTAATTGGCACTTGAGGGTTGTAGTCTTTCAACGTAGATAAAATTTAAATTTGGTTTAGAACTTTAGCATTAGCTTCTGCTAATTACATTCGAGCAACATTATCAGAACTAATGTTTACTAACCCTAAAGCTAAATGCTTTAGAGTTAGTACAACTAAGCTGTTAGTTATTGATGTCACCACTGCTTAACAATATCTTTAAAGAAAAGTAAAGTCTTGTTTTTTTTCTCTTGTCCTAAAAACACAAACTACGTAGAGACTGTACAGTCGGTTGAATTGCTGCACAAAGCAGCAATTTGGTGCTTCAGTATTTAAGTGTAGAGCAAAAGCAGAAGAAATCTGAGGTGGTTCAGCTGCTTTTTATGGCCCCGTTGTTTAACTGGTCTTTAACATTGGGCACCAAACAGATGACTAGCAGTGCAAGTGAAGAGGAACATATCTGATGTGTGTAGTTCAGAGGTCTAATATGGAATGTCATTTTAAAACACCTCTGGAGCTTTTGCATTCATCTAGTCTCCAAAATTCAAAATAGATTTAGGTTTCATTAATTCTTTCATCTTCACAGCTGTCTCCATTGCCTACATGTAAAAATCAATTTTTCCTGCTGTCTAATATTTTATGAAACTGATAAATGTCTGTTGAAGGTTATCCCTTGAGCTTAAGAGGCTGAAATAAAGAGAACAACTTTCTAAATCCATCAAAAATCTGTAATTTACCTAATATTCTCCAGAACTGAAACTCAACGAAAAAAATCGAATCTTCATACAAGTCTGTGAAGATGTTACTTTACGGAATAAAATCCTGTGTCGTTCAGGTCATTTTTATTGCCCTGCCAAGCTCATTAACTGCTAATGTTTGTTTGCCTCATCCCCATTAAAGCTCTGTTCCAGAACAAATGGGCCTCACCGATTGATGCTGCTAGTTTTAACACTCGACATCAGCCCCTGACACAGAAAGGTTCGACTGTGAAAAGCTTTTATATGACAAAATGCTATTTCACAGAGGAGTTCTGATTCCGTCTAAATCAAAGCCTCCTTTTGATTCCCTTCAGTCTTACCTTTTGTTTGATGTCAGACTTTAGAAAGAAGACTAAAGCTTGAGCCTTCATTTTCTTTCCTGAAGCCTCTTCGCCTGACAAGTGCTGCAACTTTGCCATATTTTTTCCACTGCGTTTTCACTCAGTAATTAATGAATGGCAGCGTGTCCTGTCCTGATGCAACCTAATAGATCGATCTCCTGATACATGCAGTGGCCAAGCAGTAAAAGGTAAATACAGTGTCGCGCTTTATGCAATGACTGGTGAAATTGTCTACAATTATTGAACCCTGTTGGGGACAGAAAAACAAATGGATCCTTACTTTTCAACTGAATAAAAAAAACAACAACTTTATCCCAAAGGGAAATTGAATGTTATAACACATATCATCCAAGCCTTAATAATAATAATTAATTATTAACATCTAAACCAGCCTGGTGCTGTTCTTTTGACTTGTTCCTGACTGGGATCGGAGCTGCTGGGTAAATAATAAATAGTAAAAGAAAGGCAATTCAAATTTAGACTGGTAGCCATTTACTGTTTCTTTTAACTTTGTGTAAAGAAAAGCAGGTGACGAAATACTGTCTTATACATTATTACCAGTGAATTAACCAGTGCAACAATTTGAAACTAAAAAAATATAAAATTTTGCTGCTCCTTGTATGACAGGGACCATAGATCTCCTAGATCTCACCTATAGGTCACTAACAACAGCAGAGGGAACAAACCGAACCACATTTGTCTCTGCACCACTTGGAGGAGTTAGGGTTTTATAAGACTTCCTGGCAACATGCTTGCCACCATTAAACCTTCAAGATCATTTATTTTGTGCTTCACAGCGTGATAAAGTTCATTCTGTACTTGGAATACAAGAGAAATACCAGAATTCCAGGAATGAACTCAAACTTTACTGGGATCTGAGTTGTTTTATGGTTATGTGGAGGATCTTCACAATCTTGAGTTTTTCTCATGCCTTTTTTAATAAAAAGAGTAAATAAAGATAATTAGCATTTCCTTGTTTCCGCCCAGCTGATTTCAGTTGATGGCTGATTAACAGGTCTTTGCTGAACTGCAATCTCCTGAACCAGGAGCATTAACGCAGAGAGACATCTGGAAAATGCAGGGCAGTGCACCATGAAGATCAGCTGTAGGCTAAAATAATCCAAAATATTAATTCACAAGAATCAGAGGACTTCCCAGATTTCCTAAATGATACAGTTGACCACTAACCGCTCCAGAATCAATGTGAATGTGATAACCTGCTGAATTTTAATAACAGAAACAGATACAGAGATCCGCGTAGAGATCTCCAGGCTGGAGCAGATCAATGATGAATGAGAACTGTTTCATGAATCAATCAACTTCTAGGAAAACCGGCACGAGACCTGGACACATGTTCACATTAACCAGAACAAACACCAGACTGAGACTACAAAACAAAGTCTGGAGTCTACCTCAATGCAGCTCAAACTGGTGTAGATGAAGAACTGTATTCAGGTCATCAATATCTCATTATCACAGGATGGAAAGACAATGTGCAGAACATGCTGATGGCAGTCCAATCCTGGAGGTATTTGGGCTGAGTGGAAGCTATAATGGCCCTGCAAACATTCCTCAGGCTGGAGGAAATGGAGCTCTTGTTAGGAGTTATTTCTCAGCAATACATTAATGACCCTCGGTTCTCTTGTGAGTGATTACAGCAATGGTACTCAAAAAAGATTCAGTGTTTGTGTTCATGAGACCAGAGAACACATTATGTACTGGCCAGTTTCCATCCATATGCAATAAAACCTGTTAGAAATTGACCACAATTAGTAATAGTGATTATGTATAGTGAGGAGAAAAAATGGGTGATTAAAAGATAGAAGCAAAATTAGATTTCTTGTACATGGTTCTCAACCTGGGGCCTGCTCTCCCCAGGTCAGGAGTCCTCCCCAGGAAATGCCTGTGTTTCAGGCTCTGGGTGACAGTTTTTACAATGTCTCTTAGGCTGAGATCAGTCACCTACTGAGGAAGCTCACTTTCTCAGGTTCGATCCGCATCTAACGACCACAAGGAAGGGTCAGAATGCAGACAGACTGGTAAATGGAGAAACTTTGCTTTTTGGCTCAGGTCTTTCCTGACCACAATAGACCAAAGCTGGTGGAGTTCAACTTGCATTGGGAACAAACTTCAAGGTGATCTTAACATGTTTCATTAAAATATGTTGGCACAATCTTATTCAGAAATTTATTAAACAATTCTGGTCATTTGAATGTAGCTTTATTTTTGTGTAGTGGTTTAATTCACAGACAAAACCCGACCCGAATCTCCAGTCAGTCTTCAGGCTGTTTTCTGAAATCAGCTGTTTGGTGTTCAGGATTGGCTTCTTTGTCCTTTGTGTCTCTGTGTTGTCCTGGCAAACTGTCCAGTGTCCCCTATGTCCTGCCAATTGTTCCCTGGAGACAAGAACCAGAACCACACAGCCATGCAAGAACTCATAATGTATAGAACATAGATACCGGGTAGGTTGACATTTTGGTTTGGTAACTTCAAATTAAACAATAGAGACAGAAATCAGTCTTAGATTGGCATGAGTGTCTCTCTTTCAGTTCAGTTTAATAAGTGCCATCTGGAGGCACTTTACAAAAATCATTTCAATCACACACACATTCCAAGTTATTCCACTTATCAACAGTACAGTATGCACAATTCATTATTCAGAGCAGTTTAAAGTGTCTCTGTTTAGGAAAACCAAGAAGATTTCTAGATGTTCAGCATGTAATCAAGCTTGTTGCTTTTATTTTACTGCCTTAACAACAAAAAAATGTGCTTGTTTACCCATGAACGCCACTGAACTTACACTGTCCCCTTCATGAACCTCCTTCCCTTGAACCTGTGCGTGCGTGCGTGCGTGCGCGCGCGTGCAACCAAAGGGATCTCATAGCCAGACTGAAGAGTGTTGGCCCAAATGTTCCCTGCTGACTGGAGCCAGTTCTGGTTCCTGGTTCTGATGGTCTGAACAGATGGGTTTGTCGGGGCGGAGTGCTGATGTTCATGGCTGGCTGACTCAACGCCACAGGGCGCAGGAACCAGTATTTTGAAGGGCTTATTTTGCATTTCCTCTTTGATTTAAAAAAAAATATATATTTTTATGTTTATCATGTTCTGGCTGTCAAACAGCAGGCTATGATTATGAAAAAGTAATTATGATGTGTCCGACTGAGCACATCATAGAAAAGTGCCACCAACCAGTAAAATTAGTTTCAGTCCAAATGGAGTGACACTGCGCCGTCAGCTGCATTAGCAGAAAGCATGTGAATGGAAGTTCAGTGCTTACTGTATACATCCATCATTCATTTATCTACGGCGGGTGAAAGAAAACCGCCACCACTGAGAGAGAAAATGTGGAAGGAGTAAATATGATTTCTATCAAAAGAAGCTCAGGCAGCAGCAGCATGAAATAATTAGTGAGTGGCAGAGCTCCGCCGGG